GTCACCCAGTCGTAGCTTGTCAAATGAGAACAGAAATTCTATAGCGCCGATTTGTTAAAAAAAACTTATTTTTTTATAATTTATTTTATTGTTTTAGGTAACTGAAGTGGTAAACAATCTGATGGTACACCTGATGATAGGTGGTAACCGTCGTCTGCATACATGAACAGTAGCTTGAACATCACTTTGTATACATATACTTTGTATATGCGTTGCTATTTCGGAGGTCTAAAAGTCATACCGCTGCCATGTTCTTCAATTTCACTGTTTTATCCTCTTGCCAAAACACAGTTTATGAAGCAGGCTACTTGGAAGGAGAAAAAGATAATAGTGTTGTAATATACATACTTATATAAATCTCAAGTATCTACATATTTGATTAGGTAATTTATAAATAAAAAGTACTTGTTACAGTTAATGTTAAAGTATTTAAAAAGTATGTTTACTTTATCTATTATATTATTAGCATTAATATATATATTTAACTACTATAACTGTTAGGTTTCAATTATTACTGGTAACTTAAAACTAAATTATTTAATAAAAGCACTGAAAGTGCCTGACAAATTAACGCAGTTTAGTTATCAAATCCATCAAAATTCATATACATAATGAAACATTGATTATCCAACTCATAAAGGTCACCCTTTCAACAAGATGATGAGCATAACGCACAAAGGGTCATAAATAATAAAATATTTATAAAAATATTTTTAAAACACAATTTATGAACACATTCATAGTCCAAAATATGTTAAATATAATTAATATTGTTATACGAGGATAATTGTCACATTTAATGTGATAATTTTTTTCTCAAGTACGTATATCATCGGTACCTATCAGCATTCTTATCACGTCAGTTATTTCGCAGTCGGTAGGCGTAAGTAGGTGGACAAAATATTACAAACATTTTTACTCCGCTCCATGGATTCCTAGCTGTCAATATGATACGTGCATTATCAATCAGCTATCCTTATTGGTCCATTCCTGGCCAATAACAACGCGTATCAAATATCGTGTAAAATTAATGTGAATTCATGAGAGCCGTAAAAAAATCCACTGGCGTATGACCTATAAAAATCATACCGTCGCATTGTGTTGTACACTTAATTGTATCAATCAAAAGAACTCGCGGAGATCTTCTGAAACTGGTAGCGTATCATCGTTAAACTCAATTGTTTTTTTTTAATCGACTTTGACAGCTCTAGGTTCTAGTTTTTGCGCGTTGGCCTCTCGCGTTTCGAACGTGATTATTCTTTTTATGAAATTGAAATAGTAATGGCCGATTGCAATTACCTATCTACGATAAAAAATAGAGCTGGATCCGTTGAGAAAAATATTTTGTTTGTTTCGATTTGCTTTATTTATCTCTTGGTACAAATAATGGGCATTCCAATGTTTTTGCTACTGTAATATGATATATATGATTGTATTATTGAAAACTGATACTAAGTAGGCATATACATACATACATATTATATAAGAAATAGAACAAGGAAAATAATAGAAGACAATTTTTTAAACATTTTATTACAAAAATTGAAACGAAATGAACATTATTAATAAGTGAGAAAACAACCGGTACAACTTATTACAGATTATCAAATAACTTAAACTTATTCTCCTCACTATTGTAATTTGAATACAATACTGACACGTTAAAAAATAATTTACATAAATGCTTTCAAGTAAGTAGGTAACAACTTTTTTTTCCAACCCCATCACAGAACAAAAAACTTTCAGTATAATGAACATTTTTTGCAAACACTACTGTTTTTATAGTTAAATTATATATATTTATTATTTACTTCGCTCGTGTTAATTTATCCCCTTAGGGGTGGAATTTATCAAATTCCTTTCTTAGGGGATGCCTACGTCATAGTAGCTTTATGCATGCAAAGTCTCAGCGGGATCCGTTTAAAATTGACAAAGTTTCATATAAACTTTCATCCCCTATTTTATCCCTTTGGGGGTAGAATTAATCAAAATCCTTTCTTAGCGGATGCCTACGTCATAACATTTACCTGCAGCCCAAACCACTGAACAGATCGGGCGTTTCAGCCAGATGCTGTGCGCTGATAGATCACTACGTCAGTCACCTTTGAGTTATAAATATTTAGATTTTAGATAAGTAAATGAAAAATTAATGGTTATAAGGGTAGAGGAAGACCGAAAAAGAGATGGATGGACTGTGTGTAAGATGATATGGTAAGAAAGGGAATAAATAACGAGATGACTGCGAACACGGATGAATGAAAGAGAAAACATATTACGCCGACCACAAATAAATGGGATAAGGCAAAATTAAGATTACTTAATTTTACGTTTACTTATTTTATGATCTGTAATGATTTCTATGATATGTTTATATGATATATATATATATATGATATATATATAATAATTATTATTATTATTAATATTATAAACGCGAAATTTGTGGTATGGATGGATGTTCGTTTCTCTTTCATGCAAAAACTATTGACTGGATTTTAATGAAACTTTACAATAATATAACTTATACATCAGAATAACATATAGGCTATAAATATACGGGTAAAACCGCGGGCACAGCTAGTTGATTATAAAAGCATGGTCTAGTAATAAAATAGATTAACTTGTACATTACAATTTTTTTTAAATAAACTCGAAAGTGAAAACAAAGTCATTTTCTGAAACTTTGTGATTTTTCAATTAATGCAGTTTATAAAATAGCTTGCAAAATATTTTGTTAGACAATTCGATGTTTTTTTTTTAATTTGCGAGCTATGGAATTCATTGAAAAAGTGGACCTCGCTTATTACGGAGGGCTATAAAATGTTCTTTATTCAGCTTACTATCGAGGTGTCGTTTGATATATGTTGCAATATTATATAGTTGTAAGAATAAAGAAAACAATAAACGAAAACTGAAAGTTTTTTGTTTTGTGGATAACAATAATTAGATAGTAACACCCTTTTAAATAGTAAACAGAGTTATATTTCTTAGTCTTCAAATGAACTTAAATAAATAAATAACCCTGGACAGTTAACACATCGCCATCTAGTCCAATGGTAAGCAAAGCTTGTGTTATGGGTACTACTGACACTTTGTGTTCGATTTCTCGCACGATGCAATTATTTGTATTTACGAGTATGATTGTTTGTATCGGTCTGTGTGTTATCTATATTTACAAAAAAATATTTCTATTACTTGTCTATTACCCACAACACAAGCTCTGCTTAGCATAGTACTAGATGGCGCTGTATAGATTGTTGTTATTATTATTAGAAGTATGTCTTAGAAATATATAAGTAACGAATTTTATGTGCCTAAATCGTGGTACTGGTACTGTTACATAGTCTGCAATTAATACATATATTTATACATTTGTTTTATATTACAAATTTGAAAGCTGGTTTGTTTTGTCAGTTATATTTTGCAATGTTACCATCTTATATATGATATAATAATGATGAAATTATGGATATAAGAAGCATTTGTGATATAGTTTATGCTACTATTTATCAGTTAATAATAGAGGAAGTAGTCCTGTCAGTATATAATAACTTCATAAAGACTATTCAATATAACACTGTAAAAATATATTCTAAAGAATGAAACTCGTAAAATGATATTAATTCAAAATTACAAATCGTTTGTTTTAATAAGTACATAATAAGAAATTAAAATTATCTGTAACATAACACAAAATGCAAAAGATCAAGCCCTAATGGAGTATAGAAATTAAATATTACCTAGAGACGAAATATTTTGTTTTTCAATCTTTTTATGCAATGCGTATAAAAAATATTAAAAGAAAAGAAATTGGTTTGCAGTTTTTTCACAAGACGTAAATATAATATATCTTTTATTTGACAAAATATGGTTAATTAATCTAATAGTGGTCGCTAAGTGGTCGAAATTCGACCATAATTAATTTAACACTCAGTAAGACTATAGACAAATAATATTCAAAACAAACAATATTAATCTAGTCTCAATTTGACCACAGACAACAATAAACAAAAGAGTATATATACGTGTTGTGTCGAGTACGTGGCGGTGTGTGTAACGTTTTTTATTAATTTATTATACATATATTGATGTATAATTTTAATAAAATATGATTCTGCACTCCTCCTCTATATAAACTATAAGTGTGAGAAATTTCATAATCATCCGTTCACGAAATTCCGTAAAAAGGGCTACAAAGTTTTTGTTTCGCGTATTTATTTATATGTTCAATACTATTATTATATTGATATTTTATTTTGCTTAAAAGATTGAAAAGCAACCATTTTTTTATATGTAATGAGGCAAGTTTCAACGATAAATAACTACCTACCTAATAATAAGTTAAAATAAGTGATAATTTTGTATTAGTACTTAATAATAATTAACATTTAATTATTTTACTTTTAATGACATTATTTTCACATTCCTGTTATTTAATGCCATTTATTTATTTTAAAATAAATGGCAATAAATAACGATTATTATTGTTGAAACATTGCCTGCCTATACAAAGGATTAATTTCGGTACAAAAATACAATATATATATTTTTTTATACAAACAGTATTCTATATATATCAATATAATAAGTTACACAATAGTATTTATATATTTAGTTAAAATTCCTTGTTTTGAGTATAGAAGGATCACTCTGAAGTATAATAACTAGAGTTTCAGTTACTATTCTCAAAGTAATAGTTAATTTATGTAATGGTACAGCAAACAAAGTATTTCTATATTTCATATGATCATTATATGAATTCGTCTGTTTTGATAAGACTAGTTAACCATACTTTCAGACTTTGCGGCGCTGATGGAAATCTGCTGTGAGAGCACTATCACAACCCCTAACCCTCCCCAATTAGGGGAATGGGGACGTTACAGTATATATGTTGATTTATCAAAAGTATTTTTTGATTTTTATTTACTATTTTTTTTAAGTTTTGGTAATCTGTTGCGTTCTATGTGACGACAACCGTTTGTCCGATATTATATTCCTGTGTGAGTTGTATTCCTGTTTTCTTTAAGCATTTATTCATATAGGAGTGTTATTTAAAGTTTTGGAATATGTAAACCTTTTCTTAAATTGTAAACTGAGCTTTATGGTAATGCCTTAAAGCTCCAGGTTAAAAATACAACATATGCCAGTGGGTTTTATCCATGAAACATAGTAAATTATATTTTTTTTTATTATACAAAATAGAGTCAATAAGTAATTATCTTTTTATTTTATCTATGACCTCTCGACAAAATAAATCTGGCTTCGAGACCCAAGTTTTAAAAATAGGGAGTAAGACAGTTTAGGCACTAACAAAAAAAATAACGTATATATTTTTATATTTTTTCTCCGTCCAATTCAAAAGGGGTTCGAAATTACGACGGCCTGAGCCGAGGATCGAAACCTTAACGGTGCTCACAGACTAAAGTCGTATCCGTCTGCCTTCAGACGCTCCATATGACCTGCTGGTTTGGAGAGTCATCTGCATTCGTTCCTATCATTCGATGAAGCTGTAAGGTGCGGCCAACAGCATTAGAGAAGTTCCGCGGATTTGGAGTATTATCTGCACTACCTATCGACCGATGAAGCTGTAAAGGCCAGCTGCGGTCAACAGCATTAGAGAAGTCCGAAATAACATGGTTGCAATTCTGCCATTAGATGTTTCTGCTTGCCATTACACAAAACAAAATATAATATTTATACAACAAATTGTTAGTTAATTTAGATATAATATAAGTCTATTTGCAATGAAGAATTATGTTACAGAGTTATACATAATATATAATAATGGTTTTTTTTCGCTGTTATACAATTTAAACATCCAAATACAAAACTTTGGTAAGCGATATATGATACTTATTTTTAAGCATTACTCCTTAGCTTTGTTGTTATCTGTAACAAAAACATATAATGTTATTGTGTGTTAGAAAATGTATAATAATAATTTCAATTCAATCGTACCCTCTTTTCCATCAAGTAGGTTAAACAAATTGTATGTAGACATTTACCTGTTTTAATAAAGACTAGCCTCAAGCCTAGACATCTACAATATATTTCGTAGATAATATATTATACAGATCCATACTACACATACATTTTTTAGTACATAAATTTTATAATATAAAAAATATGACGGCTTCGGTTGTGTAGTGGTCGCGGATTCGATTCATCGCACAATAAAATATTTATATTGAAGTAGTATAGTATTTATTTATAACTTGCCTTTCTGTGTTATCAGTTATTTAATACCAATGCTCTATCATACATAACATAAGTTCTACTTAACTTGGATCAAAATGGCGCTGTGTGAATTGTCCTTGAGATATATAATTAATATATAAATATACGCAATATTATATTATTTAGCTACATACTCTTCTGGTCACTTCCTCCCTGTGCTAAGATCTTGCAGCTCGCTACTGTCGTCGCTAGAGGCACTCACTGGACCACCATTGCTGGTGGATGCTGGGTTAGCCGCTGCAGCCATCGCAACGGATAACGGGATCGTAATAAACTGGGGCTGGGTTGATGATGATGCTAGAATTAGAAAAACATTATTAAAATGTAATATTGTAGAGTTGTATATTTTTAAAAAGTTTAATATTTCTATATTTAATTAAAAAAAAAGAAATTTCCACCAGTTTGTGTTGTGTATAAAAAATCGAAGATATCAAGTACCTTTTGATGGAATGGGATGGGATATAAACTTTTGATATTTGTTACTCTTTCACGCAAAAATACTGAACAGATTTTGATGAAACTGAAGTGTATTGTTTACTCGAGCAAACCACTGATTTTCAGGTCAAGCCCAGAGACATACGCGAAAGATAAGAGGTATAGAAGAATGCTACTTACCGCCTTCTTGTCCTTGATTGGCCAGCCCCAATATGAAGCTGTGAGGGTAACCCATTGCCAGATTACCTAAACCAATGTTGGAGCCAAGCGAATCCAACCCAGCAAGGACTCCACTATGGTACAACATTGCACCTCCAGGGAGGTCGATCTTTGGCAAGAGTTTCGGCAAGGAAGGCTGGCTGGATTTGCTGCTGTCTGCTTCTTGAGTGGCTGATGATGTGGAAGGCAAAGGCTCGCTTAAATGATCCCTGGGAGAAGAATCAACAAATATATTTATCTTATTACTTGTACTACACTAGCTGTGGCCGCGACTTCATCCTATTATAGTACGAATAGAATAGAATAGAAAATAATTTATTCAAATAAACTTAATTTAAGCACTTTTGCGATTGACCTAGGTTTTAATTATTATTATTATATGTCGCTAACTGTAGCGGATTTAAACAAAAAAAAAGTTAAATTAATTAAATGCTAAAAATAAATAATAATAGTATTATAAGTTACATAGAAATAAAATATATACTATTTAATGTATTGGATCGATTTTACATTCTAGAGCATATTGTGTAGATGATGCTATCATATTTGAAAGTGGGGGTAAGTACCTTACCTTTTGCTGCTTTCTTTTTCTAGAGTGTATTTTTATAGATACTTCTATATTTGAAAGTAAGGTAAGAACTTTACCTTTTGCTGCCTTCTCTGTCGCTGGTATCAGCGTGAGTCCACTCCTGCTTCAAGTTCTGGGCGTGGAGTAGCTTCTCGCTGGGTGACTCTGGTTCGCTGCCACTTTCATCACCACTATCACCTGATGAGGGTGGTTCGTCCTACAACAAAAAAAATACTAATTAAATATCAACTGACTTTTTTTAATTTGTACTACTCGTGTAGTAACAGAGTTCTGGGTGCTTTTTATGTATATATTTACAATAAAAATGTCCCAGACCGGTACAAATCATATTCATGAGTACAAAAGTTTGCACCGTACGAGGAATCGAACTAACGACCATCCAAAGTAAAGTAGTCTGCTAAACCGCTAGACCAAGCCGTCGCCTATATGATATGAGATGAGACTCGGTTACTACTTTTTTTTTTACTTGGAGAAAAACCCTCATGGAGACCCGCCCGTGTCTAGTAACCCCTAAAACAAGCTCTGCTTAGTTTGGGACTAGATGGCGTTGAATTGTCGATGAAATTTTTTTAATTTAGTATAAAAGTAAACAAAACATAGGTATAAAATCTACTTAAACGTACACCTATACTCATGTTAGAGTTACTTGAAAACAAATTGTTGTGATAGTAAGCTATAAATTTTTCAGTGGCGGAACGGCCATGTTTTAACACGGCAGACATGTTGTGACGTCACCTGCACAGTTTATAATGTGAACAAAATGTTTCAAGAGTTTTAGCGAGCGAGCGGGAAGTACCTACTGGCTGCTCATTATTTGAATTTAAAAGCTGAAATAAGGTGTGCTGTGAAATTTTAATGTGGTATATTTATCAAACAGAAAAACAAAATATATTTTGGTATCTTCAATTTATCATATTTTTTTAATGTGATATTATTATCGAACAGAAAAAAAATGTATTTTTGTATCTTAAATGGTTTGGAAAGAATAAATTATTACCGAAAAAATTATGTTATATTCAATATAGAACGTTATGTATAAAGTCGATATTAATTTAAAAAACCTTTTTTAAGTACATTTACCTATTTATTTTTGTAAGTTGCGAATAACAAGGTCTTGTTCATATATTACAAAGAGGTATATAAAAAAATTGTATGTCATTGTTAAAATAAACTAAATTACTTTTTTATATCATAATTTTATCTATCTATCTCCACGCCAGATCACTCACAAAGTAGGCGGTAGAAAGAGAGAGGAAGAGATCCTTTATTAAGAGATTATTTAAATGTGTACAATTTTTTTAATATTTCTTATTTCTGTCACAATTATGTTAAAGTACGAGAAGAATGTTTCATATATTAAAATTTGTGTAATAAATAATTGCCTAGTGGTAAATTCTATAAATAAAGCCACAGCCGCTACTTGTTCTTATATATCCTTTAAATTTCGCAACAAGTTTTAATGCAGAAAAAGATAGAGTTATTCAAGAGGAAGGTATATATGTATGTGTATATATATTACTATAATATAATACATGCATATTACAGTAGGTACAGGAGAAGTCGATAAGTTCAAAGATTGTAAAGCATTCGCGCGAAGGCGGAACCGATCTCTAAGTAATAAATAATTATTGCTTAAAATTTTATGGTACATATGGTTTCTAAAGTCTTTACTATTTATTTCATATATTTCAGCTACGATTTCGTATGTCTATTTAGACAAAACAAATGTCAATTTTGGTTATTATTATAATTAAACACTAACAATATTTTTATTCAACATTTATTCCAACACTAGCTGTTCCCGCGACTACATTCGCGTGGCTAACGCAACGAAGCCGTCAAATATAATTTTCTCCGTTTTTGGAACATTTTTCACTGATGCTTCACTTCTATTGGTCGTAGCGTAATGTTATATAGCTTAAACTCTTCCTCGACAAATGGACTATCCAACACAAAAAGAACTTTTAGATTCCAACTAGTAGATCTTAGGCTTTATAATATTAGTATAGATAAACATATAATTATTTAAAATATACTGATGTATAAAATGTTTAATAAAATTATTATGTAAATTTAATACAAAAACTAATTACACAAGAGAGCTTAAACTCATAACGCAGGTGTCCACAGCAGTGGGCTTTTTGCAGCGTGTCACATTACATCCACTTACTTTGTTTTACACTGTGGTTATGCTGTGACGGACTTTACACAGTTCTGTTATTATAACATTTAGTAACAAAAAGGGGTTGTAATAGGTTAAGTGATATAACGTTTACGACGGCCCCGGTGGTTTAGCGGTTTGCATGTCGTTTTACAACCGATGATCGCGGGTTCGATTTATAGCACAGTATAAACATTTGTATTTATAAGTATGATTATTTTTATTGGTCTGAGTGTTTGAAAATGAATTCAAATTTTCTACCCGTTGTCTGGTACTCATAACATAAGCTCTGCTTAGCTTACGAATAGATGGCACAGTGTGAATTATGATGTAATATAATGAATTATTAAATACTTGAGATGAGAGATGAGAGATTCAATAATTTATTAAATTGTGTAGAGTTATTATTATTCTAAAAACGATGTTGAAAATCTTATAAAAAATGTACCATCAAGAGATTTGCAAATAAATAAATTACTTTATCTTCGAGTTAGATATACACGACACAAATATTTGTATAATACCGGAATCGAATCCATGACCATAAGCAGCTAGCGGTTAAGCACACCAGCTTAACCGCTAGACTACGAGGAAATCGTCATTATTATATTTTTAAAATCAAAATATCTTTATTCATGTAGGTCTATTACAGACTATTATAATATGTCAAATCTTGGAGTCGTAGTGTTTTCGAGCTTAGAAGAATTGACAAGAAACTCTCATTCTTTTTAAATAAGCTTGTACATGTTTAAAAAATACAGAATCATTTTATATTCATATTAGGAAGTATAAAATTTTAATTTTTGGTAGACAATATTATCTGATTGCACTAAGAATAATTGCGTAGCGGTTTCTATGTTGATTATCGCATGCCTCTTACTTGTTATTGTGTAATTATTTATTTAAAATAACATTCATTCAAAAGAGCAATACACAAGTTTCTTGCTCATTCTTCTTGTCATGAGTTCCGTTTGAGTGGTAGAATAAAAAAAAGACCATTCAAAAGTGCTTGTGTTCAGTTTATTTGAATAAAGATTAAATCTATTTCTATTATTTATTTAATACTAGCTGTGCCCGCGATATCACCCGCATTCAATATAAAATATAGCCTATGTGTTATTCTGATGAATAAGCTATATAACTGTAAAGTTTCATCAAAATCCGTTCAGTAGTTTTAGCGTAAAGTAACAAACATCCATACTAACAAACTTTCGCGTGTATATTATTATTAAGAATTATTTTATTTATCAACACTCCCTGAATGTGTTAAAGTGTGGGTGTTCTTATTACCGGTGCCCGATGTAGGCCGCTTCCCCAAAATCCCATATCTCGAGTATTGATCTTGCAGCCGTGTCTAACTTTACTTATCATTTCAGCATGAACGAACGCAATCTAAGAGATTTTACAACTTTTCCCATTACCATGTTAACTCTATTGTATACCGAAGTCGTATTAAACTCGAATTTCTCCGATAGTTCGAGCCTCTTACGTAATGGGTATTACAGGTATTTTTTTGTATGGAAAAGTAATAAATATTAGTCGTCGCACAGTGTTTGAATTTCGAATATAAAGGTTCAATATGTTTGAAAACTTTTTAAAGTGCTTGAATTTCGAATATAAAGGTTCAATATGTTTGAAAACTTTTTAAAGTGCTTGAATTTCGAATATAAAGGTTCAATATGTTTGAAAACTCTTTAAAGTGCTTGAATTTCGAACATAAAGGTTCAATATGTTTGAAAACTTTTTAAAGTGTTTGACATTCGAACATAAAGGTTCAATATGTTTAAAAACTTTTTAATTTAAAGTGTTTGAAATTCGTACATAAAGGTTCAATATGTTTAAAAACTTTTTAATTTAAAGTGTTTGAAATTCGAACATAAAGGTTCAATATGTTTAAAAACTTTTTAATTTGAAGTGTTATATTTTTGAATTTCGAACATAAAGGTACAATATGTTTAAAAATTTTTTATTTGAAGTGTTTATATTTTTGAATTTCGAACATAAAGGTTCAATATGTTTGAAAACTTTATAATATAAAAATATTTAAAAACAGTTGAAATAAATACTCTTATATGTTAATACACAATAGTCCTTCATTTCATAATAATAATAACTCTGGATAATTAACACAGAGCCATCTAGTCCCAATAGCAGTATTTGTATTATGGGTACTAGACAACTGACAAAAATACTTATATATTTTTTTGTAATACATACGAAAACAAACAATCATATTCATGTATATATAATATATATAAACGTTTGTACCATCCAAGAAATGGAACCTGCGACCGTCGGAAATAAAACGGTGTGCTAACCGCTAAACTGCTAGACCACTGAGTCTGTCTGAATCGTCATTTAGTACAAATAAGTTTCAGTGTATCAAAAGCACAAGACTAATATTATTTTAATAAATTTATTGCAAAATACAATAACATAATTATTTTAAAATAAATTAAATAATTAATTAATAATAATAATTTAAATATTTACAAATTTTATTTATAATAATATTTAATTAAAAAAATATTAGCGTTCTGCAGTCACTCAGTCATAATTATAATCAATGATTTTTGATTTGATATTATCTAGTGAGGTGAAACCATAATGTGAATTTCTTTAAACAGTTACCATTGTACCGATGGTAATACCTCAAGAATGTATAAGAGAGCACGTTCAAAGAAAGTTGGTTGTGTCCGCAAAAGTTACGTTCTCAATCAATTAAACCAACATCACGACAGCCGGGTACAAAGTTTGGTGATATTTTTACTAGTGCGTAGAGTGGTCGTAAGTGGTATATACCGAGTAAGTAACTAGTACGATATCGGTACTGAAGTACCGTATCGTTATTTTTGTACTGAAGTACTAAATAGCTACAAGAAATAAATAACGACATGTAGTTATATTCTATTTTGAACATTGCTTATATACTGTGACTGTAGTTATTCTTAGTCAATACGTTACTGTAGTTATCTTTTAAGTAAATGACAAACAAGCTGAAGAGTATCATGGACATAATATTTTCCTATGACAGC